TATTTTCAGGAGTATTTTTGTTTCTGGTACACCTTATTGGATGGATCTTCCCACAAAACATTTTTCCTATCATGTTTATGAAGGCAAATGGAATGTTGTCATTTATTACAAGGGGAAAGCTTTGCAATAGTTGCACAGGATATCGGTGGGGCCACAGCTGAAGGACTGTGTATCTTTTCAGTTTCCTTATTTAAGAGAGGATATAAATGCATGAGAAGCAGCTCAGGGAAGGTTCACTCAACTTATACCTGGGATGAAGAGATTGTCTTACGAGGAAAGGTTGGATGCGCTGGGCCTGTATTCACTGAAGTTTATAAGAATGAGAGGTGATCTTATTGAAACTGATAAAATTGGGGCAGCACAGTGGCTCAGTGGTTAGCACCGCTGCTCAATTCCAGCTTTGGGGTAACTGTCTGTGTGGAGTTTGCATATTCTGCCTGTGTCTGCATGGGTTTCCTCCGGGTACTCCGATTTCCTCCCACAGTCCAAAGATGTGCAGGCTAGGCAGATTGACCATGCTAAATTGCCCTGTAGTGTCCAGGGATTGCAGACTAGGTAGGGTAGCCACAGGAAATGCAGGGTTATAGGGTAGAGGGGAGGGTCTGGGTGGGATGTTCTTTGGAGGATTGGTGTGGACTTGATGGGCAGAATGGCCTGTAGGGATTCTATGATCTTGACAGGCAGGAGGCTGAAAGGTTGCATCATCTTGTGGAAGAGACTAGAAGCAACTTAAAAATGTGGAGTCTCCCATTTAAGATGGAGAATTCTTTGCTCTCCGAGGATCATGAGTCTGTGGAATTCTCTTCCCCAGACCAGTGGAGCCCAGGTCATTCATTTTTAAGGCAGACACAGCGAGATTCTTAAGTAATCAAACGTTATTGGGAGGGGGAGCTGAGAAACTGGGGTCGAGTGGATCGGCCATCAGCTTTTTCAATGGCACAGCAGGCTGAATGGTCTGCATGGCCTATTCCTGCACCTAACTTGCATGTTTATATGTTGGGATTCTGTGCACTTTCCTTACTTATGACCCTGTAAGAACAATTTATCATTTGTTGATGTGTTTGAAACTGATTGTCCCAGGACTGATGATGTGGGTGATCCATAGTCCATGCAAGCCACTCTAACCACCAAGAAAAACAGATGAAGATTACATTGAAGACCTACTGCAGTATCCTGTTCTTCCATCTCCTTCTTCGGGTTGTCAGTAAGTGCTGTCAGTGACTCCGGAATCACGGCTGGCGTTTGTTCATCTCGGGATAATCTGCGGCTCAGTGATCCATCCTTCCAGCCCTTCTGTCAAAAGAAAAAGGGAACAATGACAATTTGAATCCTTTCAATTTGGAGCCAGATAGGTCTGATCCCAGGGTCCCAAGATCCCAGTGCACGAATGATCCCAATTCACAGGAGCACACCCTGTGATCTTCAATTTGTTACATTCAGTACACAGGAAACCAGAGGTTACACACTGCAATTTCCCATAACGTGCTTCCTACCTGTGCCTTTCCACAATGGAACCACAGGTTTACCAGAGATGGGAACAGGAGTAGGCCATTCGGCCCCTCAAGCATGTTCTGCCATTCAACAGGATCATGGCTGATCCGACATTTCTCACGTGCCCTTTCCCCGGAACCCTTGATTCCCGACCGATCAAGAATGTATCTGTCTTTCAGAAGTTGTCTGGGGGTAGCTATTCACAGGTAAAGGGACGGCTGGAAAGGGGGAGGCCTTCAAAAATGAGATAACGAGTGTCCAGGGAAAGTATGTTCTTGTTAATGTGAAGGACAAGGCTGTCAGGTGTAGGGAGTTCTGGATGACTAGAGAAATTGAGGCTCTGATCAATAAACAGAAAGAAGCATATGTGTGGTATAGACAGCAGGGATTGAGTGAATCCCTTTAAGGGATTAACGGCAGTAGGGGTATACTCAAGAAGGAAAGCAGGAGGGCAAAAAGGGGACATGAGATAACTTTAGCAAATAGGATGAAGGAGAATACAAAGAGATTCAACAAATACATTAAGGGCAAAAGGGTAACTAGGGAGAGAATAGGGCCCCTTTAAGATCAGCAAGGCCACCTATGTGTGGAACCACAGGAGATGGGTGACATACTAAACAAATATTTTGAGTCAGTATTTACTGTGGAGAAGGATATGGAAGCTAGAGAACTTGGGGAAATAAATATGACATCTTGAAAAGTGTCCATTTCACCAAGGAGGAGGTGCTGGACATCTTAAAACAGGACCTGATCAGGTGTACCCTAGAACTCTGTGGGAAGCTAGGGAAGTGATTGCTGGGCCCCTAGGTGGCGACTTCGTATCATCGATACCACAGGTGAGGTGCTGGAATACTGGAGGTTGGCTAATGTGGTGCCATTATTTAAAAAAGGTGGTAAGGAAAAGCCAGGGAGCTATAGACCAGTGACCCTGGCATCAGTGGTGGGTAAGTTGTTGGAGGGGATCCTGAGGGGCAGGATTTAGATGTATTTGGAAAGACAAGGACTGATGTCAACATGGCTTTGTGCATAGGAAATCGTGTCTCACTAACTTGATTGAGTTTTTTGAAGAAGTGACGAAGAAGATTGATGAAGGCAGAGCGGTGGGCATGGTCTGTATGAACTTCAGCATGGCGTTCAATAAGGTTCAGCATGGTAGACTTATTAGCAAGGTTAGATCACATGGAATACAGGGAGAGCTTGCAATCTGGATACAAAATTGGCTCAAAGGTAGGAGACAGAGGGCGGTGGTGGAGGGTTGCTTTCCGGACTGCAGGCCTGTGACCAGCGGTGTGCCATAAGGATCAGTGCTGGGTCCATTGCTTTTTGCCATTTATATAAATGATTTGGATATGAACATAAGAGGTATGGTTACTAAGTTTGCAGGTGACACCAAAATTGGTGGTGTAGTGGACCGCCAAGAAGGTTACCTCAGAGTACAAAGGGAACTTGATGGGATGGAGGAGTGACAGATGGAGTTTAATTTAGATGAATGTGAGGTGCTGCATTTTGATAAGGCAAATCAGGGCAGGATTTATACACTTAATGATAGGATACTGAGGGGTGTTGCCGAACAAAGAGGCCTTGGGGAACAGGTTCATAGTTCGTTGAAAGTGAGGTCGCAGGTAGACAGGATAGTGAAGAAGGCATTTGGTAAGCTTGCCTTTATTGGTCAGTGTATTGAGTATAGGAGTTGGGAGGTCATGTTGCGGCTGTACAGGACATTGGTTAGGCCACTTTTGGAATACTGCATTCAGTTCTCGTCTCCCGGCTAGAGGAAAGATGTTGAGGAATTTTAAAGGGTTCAGAAAAGATTTACAAGGCTGTTGCTGGGGTTGGAGGGTTTGAGCTATAGGGAGAGGCTGAATAGGCTGGGACTATTTTCCCTGGAGCATCAGAAGCTGAGGGGTGACCTTATAGAGTTTATAAAATCATGAGGGGCATGGATAGGGTGAATAGCCAAGGTCTTTTCCCCCAAAGTAGGGGTGTCAAAAACTAGGTATAAGGTGAGAGGGGAAAGATTTTAAAGAGACCTAAGGGGCAACTTTTTCATGCAGAGGGTGGTGCGTGTATGGAATGAGCTGCCAGAGGAAGTGGTGGAGGCTGGTACAATTATAACATTTAAAAGGCATCTGGATGGGTATATGTATAGGAAGGGTTTAGAGGGATAGGGGCCAAACATAGACAAATGGGACTAGATTAATTCAGGATATCTGGTTGACATGGACGAGTCGGACTGAAAACTGTTTTCGTGTTATACATCTCTATAACTCTCTGACTCTGAGCCTTAAATACACTCAAAGACTCTGCCCCCACAGCTCTCTGTGGCAAGGAGTTCCACCCCTCTGAGAGAAGAAATTCCTCCACATCTCAGTCTTAAATTGGCGTCCCTTTATTCTGAGACTATACCCTCTGGTCCTGGATTCTCCCATGAGGGGAAACATCCTCTCAGCATTTACGCTGTCAAGCCCCTTAAGAATCTGATGAGATTTGGGTGATAGCTCAATCGGTGGTACGGTGGCTCAGTGGTCAGCACTGCTGCCTCACAGCGCCATGAACCCGGGTTCGATTCCACCCTCGGGCGACTGTCTGTGTGGAGTTTGCACATTCTCCCTGTGTCTGCGTGGGTTTGCTCCGGTTTCCTCCCACAGTCCAAAGACGTGCAGGCTAGGGTGGATTGGCCATGGGAAACGAAAGGTTACACGGACAGGGTTGGGGTGGGTCTGGGTGGGATGCTTTTCGGAGAGTTGATGTGGACTTGCTGGGCCGAATGGCCTGTTTCCACACTTTAGGGATTCTATGATCTCCCCTCATTCTTCTAAACTCCCATGAGTAGAATACCAACCTGTTTAGCCTGGTCTGGATTGTGAACTCACCCCCTGTGTAAACAATGCCAAATGTACTACAATTATTGAGCATTCAAATGACTCTATTGGAATTACATTTGGCACACAGTTAAGGTCTACCAATGATCCTGATTTAAAGGCACAAGGAGCCACTCACTGCCTTGACATGCTATGTCATTGACACCACTGAATTATCTCACAGGTTGGACGGACTTGCTGCAAACAGTCTGCAACAAATAGACTGGCTGTATTGGGTACTGCAAGATACTTTACCAGAAACTAGCACAAACTGTTTGATTTATGCCTAGCAGCAAGGTGGTACTGAGATAACAAAGTGTAGAGCTGGATGAACACAGCAGGCCAAGCAGCATCAGAGGAGCAGGAAAGCTGACATTTCGGGCCTACACCCTTCTTCAGAAATGGTGGTACTGTGCCTTTAAGAAAAATGTGATCTGTGCTGTTTCTCTTGCAGAGAGGGGTTGCCACAGTGGCACCCGAATGTCTGTTTCAGAAGCAATGGGGAAACAGCTTCAAGCTCCCTGGGTGCTTGTTTTAAATTAGACCAGAGCAGCATGAGTGGGTGGAGTCAGGCTCCCACAGACCCAGGGTTTTAGTTTTGCTTTCAGTCAGGACTTGGAGTTGGCTGCTAAAGCAGATAGATACAGCTCTCTCTCTGCTGCAGCTAAAAGCTCAAGTTCTCTTGCTGTTACTAGATCAATTCTGTGGGTATTCCTTCTCCTGGACTGGAGGAGATAGCACGTGAGGAAAATCTGTTTTGCTGAATTTGCCTTTACCAAGGGAGTGTTTATGGGATGCAGCTGTATTAGAAAAGTTGATGATTAGTAGCTAAATAATATATTATTTTGTTAAGTATTTTGATAGAGTTAAAGTTATGCCAATTGTTCCTTTTTTGTTTGTATTTTAGCTGTGTTTTAAAAATAAAGTGTGTTTTTCTTAAAGCCTAGTGGTGGACCAAGTGAATCACATCTGGAACACAGAACCTTATACTTGCCTTTGAATAAGATAAAAGTTTAGGTCTAGGCTATCTCCTTGATATATTTTGAGGGGGTTTGGTCTGATCCATAACATGTGTAACTGATGGGGGAAATAACACATTAATTTCTGTCCTGCTTTCGATTTATGAAACCACCAGATTAACACCAGTGTTTATTCTCAGAGTGGCTGGTATAATGGCTCTCTGGGATACGGGTGAACCTAGCTCCTGACTGATGAACTGTTGGCTGCAAACATTCCTATCCAGAATTAGTCAGTGACATTCCTGGGGTGGAGGTCCATTGGGCAGTGAATGGCAGGGACTGGCAAACGGGGCAGAACCCAACAACAGCAGGATGCCAGCTAGAAGCAGGGACGGAGATGATGGTTTAGAGTTCCACCCATCCCGTGAACATCTGACATTGAAAAAGAGGCCAGGCAGGTAAGTTGATGCCACCCACTGGATTTCTCACCCATCTGCCTCTGCTGCCCTGGTTGTATTGGGCACTGCAGAATAGTGCCATCCAGAAACTGCTATGTAATGGTGAAGAGGGCACGAGGGTTTTTTTAGATTGCAATACAATTCCTGATGGGCCACAAGTTAGCTTATGGACCAGATTACAAATGTGCAGGGCCATTGTGAGAGGCTAAGTAGTCTGAATCTAGTCTCTAGTAGCTATAGGTCCTGAGCACAAAATTAACCACAAAGTGGCACCAATTTAGCAACCTGGTTACACCAGCTACAGGATGGCTGGTGTGACGAATGAAAAATGGCATGCTACGGCAGAAGGGTATTTTCCAAAACTGGGGTGAACCACCTTGTGCAATCCACACCCTGTTGCCCAGCCTTGTGGGCAAACCAGAAGCACCAATACTGGCACAGGGAGTGCCCAACATATGCATAACGCCTTCATCAGGTCAAAAGCTGGGTTAGGGACTCTTCTCTCAAGTGTGTTCAAAGTCCTT